GCTCGCCCCTCGCCCCGCCCCCAGTTGCAGGAGCAGCTACAGCGCCTCCTGCTGGTGAATGCGGAGCTGCGCCACAAGCTCGCTGCCGTGCAGGCCCAGCTGCGGGCTGCGCAGGACCGCGAGAGGGAGCGCGAGCTGCCGCGGGGAGGCGCCCGCGAGCCGGCTGAAGGGCAGAAGCAGGAGCCCGAGCGGGCGCCCCGTGAGAACTTGGTGAGTGCCGGAGGAAGGCAGGATCCCTCTGTTCCAGAACCAGGAGTTGTCGGGCCCTGGGCCTTGTGTGCCGTCCCATGCAGCGGGTCCCCGGGAAGTCAGAAGGCGGCACATGGGTTTGTGCCCCCAGCCAGCCGCAGCCCCCTAGGCAGCCGCGGCATTGCTCTGTCATCTACTGTAGCGTACTTGTGCTTGTATCTCCAGTCTCCCTGCTGGGCACTTTCCCTAGCACTCCTGTGATGGCGCTGGGCTTTCCCCAGGTGGATGCCCTGCAGCAGCCAGGTCGCCCGGTGGAGGCAGGGCAGTGTGGCTTCAGCCGGGAGGAGCTGGAACAGATCCTTCAAGAGCGGAATGAACTCAAAACCAAGGTGTTCCTGCTCAAGGAGGAGTTGGCCTACTTCCAGCGGTGAGGGGCTGGAAAGGCCAGGAGCCTCCCCTCACGTCTGTTCCTGGGCCTCAGGTCACCCCACCGCATTCTTTGATTCATTGGTATATCCAGTGACATGTGCCAGGCCCTGGGCACTGGAAGGACACGAATGACATAGCTCCTGCCCTCCTGGATCTTCGTCCAGACAGGGGAGGGGGCAGTGTGGAGGGTCACAGGAGCAGATGGGCGGCAGCTGAAGCAAAGGTCTGAGAGGTGTGAGCAAGGCAGAGTGCCCCAGGCCTTGGAACAAGGGTCGCGGGAGCCGGGGGGAGCGCCGCTGCTTCCTTCCTGCCCTTCCTCCCCTCTGTAGGGAGCTGCTCACAGACCACAGGGTCCCTGGGCTTCTGCTAGAAGCCATGAAAGTGGCCGTCAGGAAGCAGCGGAAGAAAATCAAGGCCAAGATGTTAGGAACGCCAGAGGAGGCCGACAGCAGGTAAGGTCCCACCCAAGCCAGCGCGCCCGCCCTCCCTAGTTCTGCAGAGCTTGTCAGCCCCGCATAGCCACTTTCTGCATCTGCTGAGCGAGAGTGGGTCCCCCACTGGTCCCCTGACCTAGACTCACCACTTCCTGGACCTGCTGATCTGTGCTGCTTACCCCTGGGCCTGGTGCTCTAGTCAGGTCACCCTTGGGCCTGCTGGCTTTGGCCGCTCACCTCCTGAGCCTGCTGCCGCCTGCTGACCCTCTCTGGGCGGTACTGCTCCCACTAGCCCTGCCTGCCGTACATCCTGCTCAAGACCCCTGCTCACACTGCTTCTCCAGTTTCCTGCTGTGGTCGGGTCTGTTTGTTAGAGGGGCTGCAGCTATTTCAGGGGCCTGCTATCTGCCAGGCTACAAAATGAAAGCTTCAAGATGTCTTACATCTCCCCAGTGTGTCTCCCCCTCTCCGCCCTGGGGAGAAGGGCCGGGCAGCAGGGCCTATGCGTCCTCCCATGCTGTTCTTGAGTGCTGAGGGGAAGGCTCAACACGAGCTGGACTCCTGCTGGCTCCTGGGCCCTTCGCACGAAGCGCTTGTGTCATCTCTGTCGTAGTGACGATGAGGATGGCTCATGGCCTCTGCTCTCTGGAAACAAGGAAGATGACACCCCACCTCCTGAGTCCAGAGCACAGAGTTTGTACGTTGAGGGGAGGGGAAGGGCAGGAGGGGGGTGAAGGAGGAACCCCAGCTGGTTCTGCGCCACACACCCCCCCCCACCTCTGCTGTCAGCTTGCTGTCCTGAGCCCTCACGCACCCTCCCTCCTGCTTCTCTGTCCTGGCCCCTCAGCGCCCCACAGCCTCCTGCTCTTCCCTTTTAACTCTATCCTTTCTCCCTGCTCCCTGCCTTCAGCCCATAGCCCTGACTCTCTGGCTCCCTGTGTGCCTCTTGGCTCTCCCTCCAGCTTTGGTCTGTGGTATCGGGGTGAAGCAGAGACCCCTCAAGCTGAGAGCAGCGGCACCTCTCCCAGCAGGCTAGCGGGAGAAGAAGAGGTCCCCCAGCAGCCTCACCCGGCGCCTGTTGGCAGCCCTCAAGCCCCCGACTCCTGAGTCGCCCTGCTCTGTGCCCAGTGAACTCCCTGGTCTGAGGCCTTCGCCGCCCCAGAGGTCTGACGCTGGGGCCTGGGTGGGGGCGATGTGTGACCTCAGGTGAGCACAGGCCTTCCACCTTTGCAGCCTTCCCTGGGCTTCACCTGCGGTCCTGGCCTGCAGCAGGCGTGATGGGCGCTCAGCCTGCCTCAGCTTCCCTGACATCTCCACACCCACGCCTCAGGGCCGCTGTGAAGCTCCTTCATGAGTTTTGGTTTCTTCATCCCTGAGACAGAGGACTGTCTGCCTAGTACTGCCCAGGGGTTTCTTCGGATGACTTGCGCTAAAGTAATAAAGCAGCCGCGCCTAGTACCCAGCAAGTGTCCCATGTCTGTCTGTCAGTGGTCTGCGCCACCTCCCGGCCCTGCCAGGTGCAGAGGCAGGCTAAGGTCTCCTCACAGGGTCCGTGAAGCTGGTCACTGGGTGGGGGCCTTTGCCCAGTCCTTACCTGGCTTGGAGAGTGAGGCCTGATGGGAAGTTGCAGCTCCTCCCAGCCTCACCCCAGCCCTCTCCCTGGCCTCCCAAGGTCCTCATCAGTGGCCTTCCTTTCTCTCATTTCTGAGTGTCTGGCTTTCCTGGTGTCCATCAGTCCCGGGGAGGAGCCTCACAGCAGTCCACCCCTCGGGCCTGGTTTCCTCAGGAAAAGCCTTGGGAGGAAGCAGGGTGGGGGTTGGGAGCTACTAGAGCCCGATGAACTGCGGCCCTCCCACTCCACTGGCCGCCATGGGGCCGGAGCTGCTGCTCCCACTGCTGCTGCTCTGGACTCCGGGGACCCAAGGGTCCAAGCTGGACCCGAAGGGGCAGAACGTCTGCAGAGGCAGCAGGTGGGTTTCATGGGAATCTGAAGGGCTGCGGGACTGAACGAAAGGGAGGCATTTCAAGAATGAGGATATGGGAAAGGTAGGGGTTGAAGGCAGCCTGGTGGTGGTAATGGAGAGTCAGAGCAGACGGTGGGAAGGCCAGGGAAGGAGAGGGGACAGGTTGGGGACACAGGCTGTAATAATCCTGGGCTGTGACGCCAGGGGCAGATCTCTCTGGTAGGGCTGAGCAGACTCCCACACCTCAGCCAGAGGCAGTGACCTACCCTTTGGCTGGGCAGTGACCTACCCTTTGGCTGGGCTACCCCCACTGACTGACTCCCTTTTGCCCCACAGCCCCTTTGCCGAGCTGCTGTGCTGTCCCGGCTGGAAGCAGAAAGACCAAGAGTGCACTGTCCGTGAGTAGCGAAGGGAAGGGGAGGCCATGGCCCAGTGAGAACCCTTCCTTCCTACGCTGTTTCCCCCTGAGGCCTTGAGCCAGCACCCTGTGACACACACGCCTCCCTACCCTGGGGGGTTAGGTGACTCTTGAGGGAGCAGACCCCCAGGAATGGGGGAGCCCTTGAAGGGCAGGGGCATCCCTTGGTCCTGTGTGTCCCAGCTCTTTCAACTCGGTTGGGGTGTTTTGCAGCCATCTGTGAGGGGCTGGACGCCTGCCGGAAAGACGAGGTATGCGTGAAACCAGGCCTGTGTCGGTGCAAACCCGGGTTCTTCGGGGCTGAGTGCAGCTCCGGTGAGTCTCAGCTACAGGGGGACTTCTCTGGGTGCCCAGCTGGGAAGCGGGGACACAGCAAGTAGAAACATAAATGCAGAGAGGAAAGCGACAGAGGAAATTGAGACCCAGAGACAGGAAGTAAAGTGCTCCAGGGAGATGCTCTGAATCATTAGGTTGTAGCCAGGCATGGTGGCGCACGCCTGTAATCCTGGCACTTGGCTGAGGCAGGAGGATTGCTATGAGTTCAAGGCCAGCCTGGGCTCCATAGTGAGTGCAAGGCCAGCTTGCACTATATAGTAAGACCTTGTCCCAAAAAAAAAAAAACAACTCAGGGGCTGGGGATTTAGCTCAGCAGCAAAGCGCCTGCCTGGCAAGCGCAAGGTCGTGAGTTCGGTTCCTGGTACCAGAGAAAAACCAAAAAAAAAAAAAAAAAACTCAAAATAAATAAATGAATGAATCATCAGGTTTTGCCCATATCCGTAAGACTCCGCCCACAGGGACTTTCTTCTTCTTCAGCTTCAGAAAAGAGCCCTAGGAGAGGCCCTGCTGTGACCACAACATGGGTGTATTCTTGCTCTCCCCCACATGCACTTTGTATATGGGTGGAGGGTAGAGGAAGGCCGGGTCTGGGCTGCCTGGGCTCCCTGGCAGGAGGGAAGAGGAGAACAGGGTTGGGGGCTGCACAGCCTGGGGTAGGCACTAGCAGTCACAGCTGGGACCCTGGGGAAAATAAGGCTTTTCCTGGGACTCTGGTGGGCAGCACCAGCTGAGGTGCAGATGAACACCCTGCGGGTGAGAGGGTCTCTATGAGGAGGGAGGAGGGGCATGAGTGAAGCCCTGCCCAGCTCCGGCCACGCCCCCTCCCCACTTAGGGTCTGTTTTGAATGTGTAGCGGAGGCCGGAGGCCGGCCCCAGGCTCGAGGCTGCTGTAGTTTAGAGTCCGCGGCAGGAAATGAGCTGAGCCAGAACGGCAGCCAGAAGGACGGGCTGCCAGATGTTTCAAGGGTCTGTCCCTGGCTCTTGCAGGGCGGGCTGGCACCCCTCTTCCTCGAGGAAGGGGCTGGGTAAGGATCTGTGCCCGGCCCTGAGCCTGCTCTGTCCCCTCCAACCCCGCAGCCTGCCCAGGCCAGTACTGGGGCCCCGACTGCCGGGAGACCTGCTCCTGCTACCCCCACGGCAAGTGTGACCCCGCCACAGGCGTGTGCCAGTGCCAAGCTGACCGCTGGGGCAAAAACTGTGAGTCTTTGTGCTCCTGCGGGCCGCACGGACATTGCGACCCCAAGACTGGCCAGTGCCGCTGTAACCCGGGCTGGTGGTCGGCCACGTGCCGCCGCCAGTGCCAGTGCAACCCCGCAGCACGCTGTGACCCGGACACCGGTACCTGCTTGTGTCCACTGGGCTGGTGGGGCCGCCGCTGCAACTTCAAGTGCCCCTGCCACAAGTTTCCTTGTGTACCGGACACCGGCCGCTGCATCTGCCCGCCTGGGTGGCAGGAGCCTGACTGCAAGCGGCCGTGCACTCCCGGCCACTATGGGTTACACTGCCGCCAAAGGTGAGCCAGCGGGGTTGGGGCGAGGGAGCACCAGGGAGCAAGAGAAGACTCACGGGAAGGCAGGCAAAGGCGAGTTAGGGGAGGAGCAGGAAGAGGTGGGTGTGAAGGGAGAACGGGGAGGGAGACCCAGTGCTATCTCCAAAAAATGTACAAGACAGAGAAGAAAGGAAAACAGAACCTTTGATATCCCTAGGTCCAGCCCTGCCCAATCCTTTTATCCAATTACTCTTAAAAAGTATTGGTACTAGCAAGCCATCTTCAGAAAAAGGATTCATGTGACATAAGAATGACAAGGTCCCTTTAATAATCAATAGCCTTCGCCAGGCATGGTGGCACACACCTGTAATCCCAGCACTTGGGAGGCTGAGGCAGGAGGATCACCACAAACAAGTTCAAGGCCAGCCTGAACTACATAGCGAGACCCCTTCTCAAAAAAAGACTCAGTGGCCTTCAAGCATTGACAGCCTCCACACACAATAAGAAATCACAAAAGAAATGACATCCTACCTAACTTATGTAACACATATTAATAAAAGTTGTTTAAGCCGGGTGTGGTGGCGCATGCCTGTAATCCCGGCCCTCGGGAGGCTGAGGCAGGAGGATCACTGTGAGTTTGAGGCCTGTCTGGGCTACAAAGTGAGTTCAAGGCCAGCATGAGCTACATAGTGAAACCCTGTCTTAAAAAAGCAAAAAAAAAAAAAAAAAAAAGTTGTTTAGTATTTTTTTTTTGGTTTGTCTTGGGGTTTTTTGATAACTTTGCTTTTATTTACATAACTCTTACATGCAGTACTGTAGTATATAACACAGCAAAACTATAATACAGTAAGCAAAAATTATAGTACTGTATAAAGAAAGTGTTCTGTACAAGAAACAATATTGAGGCTCTATAAACAAGATGTACAGTACAAAAAACCAAGATGGGGTCGTAAGTCTGAGCGGCAGGTGTAAGTCTGAACAGTTGCTAATAGGTAGGTCATTAAAAGGAATATCTGTATGGGGTTCCGTCTTTTGAAGAACAACAGAACCACCTTCAGATAGTCAAAGCAAAGTTGAGATCTTCACAGTTTCCATGTCTCTTTTTAGGTCCCTTTCTGGTTGCCAAGATAAATGTCATTGGTTGGGTCTGGTGGTCCCTGAGACTGAAATAAAGAACTTAATCCACCCTTTTAAAATAAGTTTGTAGGTTCACTGACCCCCATTGGAGAAAATAAATTTTCAGGACACATAAGTAAAAGACACAGGGGCTGGGGATTTAGCTCAGCGGCGCAGCGCCTGCCTGGCAAGCGAGCGCAAGGTCTTGAGTTAGATTCCCGGTACCGGGGGGATAAGTAAAAGATACATGAAAAGGATTTCTTAGTGGTAGATGTGGGACATACTCAAGAGAGAAGTATGCATGCTCAGAGAAATGAGGCACCTTTTTTTGTCTTTTTGAGACAGGGTCTCACTATGCAGTTCAGGCTGGCCTCAGACTCGCTTTATAGTCCAGGCCAGCCTCAAATTTGCAGCAATCCTCCTGCCTCAGCCTCCCGAGTGCTGGGATTACAGGCGTGCACCATTACATTGGGCTCTTTTTTTGTCTTTTTGAGACAGGGTCTCACTATGCAGTTCAGGCTGGCCGTCACCTCACTATGTTACCCAGGCTGGCCTTGAACTCATGGCAGTCCTCCTGCCTCAGCCTCCTGAGTGCTGGAAAATTGTGTGTGTGTGTGTGTGTGTGTGTGTGTGAGTGTGAGTGTGTGATGTGTAATACTAAGGATTAAACCCAGGACCTTCACACTAAGCTATACCTCCAGCCCTTTTTGTTTTTTTATTCAGGCTGGGCTTGAATTTATGATCCTCCTGCCTTCATAAAATAAAAATTTAACTAGAGAATATATACTTACCTTTACTATTAACACACACACACACACACACTCTGTAATATTTTTCTTTTTTCTAAATGCTGACCGCAGCCAGGTGTGGTGGCACATGTCTGTCATCCCAGCACTCTGTGAAGCCAAGACAGGAAGAACACAGCCTGGGGAACTTCGCAATTTAGCAATTTGACTCTGTCTCAAAATAAAAATGGCTGGGGAATGTAGCTCAGTGCAAAGCCCCTGGGTTCAGTCCCCAGTACCACAAAGATAGATAGATAGACAGACAACAGACAGACAGACAGACGATAGATGCTTGTCAAGATCAATTAAATTGATTTTTTAATTCTCCTCCCCTCTCTACTAATGGATCTGACCCAAGTTACTATTAAGTGTCAATGGGAAATTAAGGTAAGATAAATATGAAGTTATAGTGGTGAAAATATTTTAAATATATATATTTTTTAATTCTTATTTTTTTAAGAGACGGGATCAGCCAGGCATAGTGGTGGACACCTGTAATCCCAGCACTCAGGAGGCTGAGGCAGGAGAAGCGCTGCGAGTTTGAGGCCAGCCTGGGCTACATAGTGAGCTCAAGGCCAGCCTGAATTACAGAGGAGACCCTATCTCAAAGAGAGAGAGAGAAGGAGAGAGAGACTGACTCTTACTGTGTTGCCCAGGCTGATGAAAGTCCTGAGTAGCTCTCACTCCAGGCACACCCTGCCTCTGCACTCACCCTGTGCTTTATTTCTATGCACTGTCATGTTATAGAAGGTAGAGCACTGAGTCCTCAGGGCTGGCATGGTGTGGGAGGCAGAAGGGGAAAGAGGAGGACAGGAAAGCTGGGAAGGATGGAGGAAGAAGGTGGCTGATAACTCTCTGCCCCGGCTGGGCTGGTAGCTCCTGGTGACCCTGAGACCAGGGAAGGATAGGTCACAGGTCATCTGTCCCAACCTCTTCATTGCACAGCGTGGAGAAAGTGAGGCTTGAGCCTGCCTGAGCGACCCAGCAGGGTCCTGAGCGCTCTGCAGCGCCCCTGCTGGCGGGAGTGGGCGGTGTATGTGTTCAAGGGTGGGCCTATTTGTTGTGTTGTTCTCCCCGCCCCCCCCGCCCCGCCCGCGCCCAGCCCTGTGCTCCCATGAGCCCTTTCTCTTACCAGATGTGGGCACTGCAAGCAGAATGCCCCGTGCTCTGTGGACACTGGCAGCTGTGAGTCCTGCGAGCCAGGGTGGAATGGGACCAGGTGCCAGCAGCCTTGCTCACCAGGCACCTTTGGCGAGAGCTGCAGCCAGCAGTGCCCCCGCTGCTGGGATGGGGAGCCCTGTCAGACAGAAACAGGACACTGTGAGCACTGTGACCCTGGCAAGCTGGGGCCCAGGTGAGTGGGGTGGATGTTTCCGTTGTATCTTCATAGCCACCTGTCCCCCAGCAGGCACACTCACCCTTGGGGCTGTCTCTGGATGAGGCCGAGGGAGAGAGGATTTTGAGCCAGATATTCTTCTGCTCCCACACCACAGCCTTCCCGCCCTCCTCCTCCTCCCGGGATTTGTAGTCTGTCTCCTGGGTTTGTCTCCAGGTTCAAGCCCCGGTTTGCACCTGTGCTTTGCTGCCCAGGAGCAGCCGTCTGGGGCCTAAGTGCAGGAGAGTGGGGAAGGTGGGTAGGGACCTACTCTGGGGCCCAGGCCTGCCGTGCCCTCCCCGTCTCTGAATCTCGCCTCCCCCAGATGTGAAGATACCTGCCCGAATGGCACCTTTGGGCTAGGCTGCAGCTTTCCCTGTCCCACCTGTATTCACGGGGCCTGTGATGCTGAGACTGGAGAATGTGTCTGCAGCGCCGGCTACTGGGGGACCAGGTAAGGACTGAGCCCTGGGGGAAGGAGGGCAGGCCGCTGTCATGTTTCCTAAAGTTCCCTTCCTGAGGGGTTGCTTACTTGGGAAGCGCTTCTGTGGTGGAGTTGGTGATAGTGGCTGCCACAGAGAGCACTTAAAAAAAAAGTTCTCTTCCCAGGCCTCTTCATCTCCCAGGCCTGTACCCACTGTTCTTAGAACTGAGAAGCTGGTCCTCCTGTGGGGGGCCTCACATCTTCCAAGGAAATTCAGATGACGCCTAATCTAAAAGGACTGAAAAATAGCACACAGGAGGCTGAGGCAGGAGGAACACAAGTTAAAGCCTAGCCTGGACCACACGTCAAGATTGTGTCTCAAAAACCGAAATAAGTATATAAAAATAAAGGCATCAATAAAAGGTCTAAAGATTAAGCAGAATTCTTAGGGAGGAAAAAAAACAAAAGGAATTTTTATAAAAGCATGAGGATCAAGAGGTCAGGGTAAGCTTAGGCTACATGACGAGACCCTATCTCAAAAAACAACCAAAAAGGGGCTGGGATATAGCACAGTGACATAAGTACCTGCCTGGTAAGCGTAAGGTCCTGAATTCGATTCCTGGTACCAGAAAACCCCACAAAAAAACAAAAAAGTTCAGGCATGATGGTACAACCTGTAATCATGGCACTCTGAGAGGCTGAGGCAGGAGGATTGCAAGTTTAAGACCAGCTTGGGCAGTTTAGCAACTTAAGGAGAGTTCCTCAAAATAAAACACAAAAAGGAGCTGAGAATGTATGTATCTCAGTTCAAAGGCCCTGGGTTTAATCTGCAGTACCACAAAAATAAAATAATAAATACATAAAAGGGAGAAAAGAGGAAAGAAAATAAAGAGGGACCTGGTTCCCTAACTAGTTGGGGGTCTCGGGGAAGGTGGGGATGGCCTTGTCACCTCCCTGAAGTCTTCAGGTGGTGAACAGGGTCTCCAGTCACGTTTCCTACTTGGAGGGCGGCGTGAAGGGTCAAATGGAAGAGAGCTCACTTCACAGTGGCGGAGACCAAGGCCCAGAGTTAGGGGCAGCGCAGGGCCTGGCTGGACGCATCGCACCGTGCTTAGTTTGCGCTTGTGCTGGCAGCCAAGGGGCTGAGGCCAGGCAGAGGTGAACCCTGTCCTGAGGGCAGCAGCCTGGCCCGCGTCGAGCTGGGTGTCTGGGGCTGAGGGAGTCTCTAGAACACTGCCAGGGCCACTTAGGATGTGGGGCAGCAGTCAGGGGGCACTGCTCGGGCACCGCGCAGGGGGGCCTTCAGGCAGGGGTGGGGACAGTGCCTGGGAGCCTCCCTTGACCTCCCTGCTGCCCGCTGCCTCCCTTCCCACCCGGTCTTCAGCCTGCCCCTCTTGTTACCCCATAGCTGCAACAGTTCCTGCCTGGCTGGCTTCTATGGCCACAACTGCTCCCTGTCCTGCCAGTGCTCGGATGGACTCTGCGACCCTGTGTCTGGGGCCTGCCTCTGGGGTAAGGTGGAGCGGGCTGCAGGCTGCGGTAACCACTGAAAGTCTGGTCCTTTGCATGGGTCCCAGGGGTGCCACTTGCTGAGGGCGGGGCACTCCGGGCCTACTTCAGACTTGGCTGTGGCTGAAATCGGGATGGATGCTGTGCGATCCCTGGGGATGTGACACGGACCCTGCCGTCCAAGAAAGCAGGGAGGGCCGGGGAATGAGCAGGCAGGGCTGGACTCTAGTATGGCCGGGGAATCGGGACAGGAGCTTGTAGCACTGGCTTTTGCCCCATGAGGAGGGGACAGATCAGCAGAAGGGCCACCTAGATGAAGAGGAGGGACCCACAGGTGGGAAGAGGCAACTCAGAGCTGAAGACAGCTGTGTGTGGGGGAGGCCCTGACTATCTGGCGTCTCCCGTGCCCACAGGCCTTCATGGTAAGCAAGCCTTCCTCATCGCTGGCATCCTTGGGCCTCTGCTGCTGCTCCTCTTGGGCATTGCCTGCTGTGCCTACTGCTGCTGTACCACTCGGCGGGAGCCCAAGGACGGGTGAGCGCTGGCTGGTCTCTCTTCTGGTTTCCTATCGGGGTAGGAAAGGGCCGGCCTTGCCACACACTTAGGTCAAAGGTAGTGGCGAGAGTTGGTGGTGCCCATGGCCTGGAGGCACCAGGTCAGCCACCTGCCCACCTTGGAAGCTGTGACATGGAAGTTTCTGAGACTCATGGCATTAGTCAGGGCGCTGGGCACCAAACCTGCAGCAGGAGGCCAGGAGCTTACTGGCAGGGGCAGACGAGGAGGGCGAGGAACACAGAAGTAGCAGCACAACTCTAGGGTGGAGAAGAGACCAGACCTCACTTGTCCTAGAAAGGAGAGTGACATAAAAGCCTGTAGCCAGGCATGGTGGCAGATGCCTGTAATTCCAGCAGCATGGGAGGCTGAGGCAGGTGGACTGCGAGTTTGAATCCAGTCTGGACAATTTAACAATGTAATAAGACACTGTTGCAGAATATTTAAAAAATGCAAGCTGGGCGTGGTGGCGCACGCCTGTAATTCCAGCACTCGGGAAGCTGAGGCAGGAGAATCATTGTGAGTTTGAGGCCAGCCTGGGCTACAAAGGTGAGCTCAAGGCCAGCCTGAACTGCATAGCGAGACCCTGTCTCAAAAAGACCAAAAAAATAAAAATAAAAATAAAAAGATAAAAAATGCAAAACAGGCTGAGGATGCCACTCAGTATGAAGATCCTTGCTCCAAAAATAGTCCATGTAGTAGTTCAGCATGAACTGCTACAGAGAGACTAAAGGGAAGGACTGGTGCAGAGGGGCTCCCACAGGGAATGATGCTCACACCCTGCTCTGTTCTTCCAAAACCTCTTACACCCCTGAAGCCCGAGGGGACCCCGCTAGTCATGGCTGCACAAAGCCCTGCTTGGCTGTCTGGGCTGTTTGTCCAGTGCTGGTTGCTCACTTGCTGTGTGCTTGCCTCCTTGCTTCCTTTTGTACCAGGAGTTGAATTCAGGACCTCACGCTTGCTAGGAGGTGCTGCTCTGCTGAGCTACATCCCTGCCCTGTCCGGCGCTCTCTGATTAGTTCATGCACTAATCCTTGAGCTCGTCCTCTGTGGTCAAGCAATCACAGATTCACCAGTCCTGTCACCCTCCCTGTGGCACAGAGCCCGCTGGGTGGGAAGAAGCCCCTCACAGGGAGATGAGGACATGTGCAGAAGCCATTAGAACACTGGTAACAAGTGGAGCGGCCCCGGCTTGCGGGTGGAGGAGAGCGGGGACAAGACAGGTGCAAGCTTCTAGGGCTCGCTTGGGTGAGCGTCACAGGGAGCTGCATTTTGGGAACCCTCACCAGGGGCCTTGTGCTGTAGCAGGTCCTGCAGAAAGCTCTAGTAGATAGGACTATCTATCTAGGACTATCTAGCTCTAGTAGATAGGACCCATTTTGTAGATAAGGAAACTAAGGCCCGGGGGAGTTCAGTCTGAGCCAGTCTGTTGCCCTGGTGTGTCCGACTTCAGAGCTGCGCTGCCTTCTGTGATGTATGTCTTGGGCTCAGTTGTTTGGATCTGATTGTTTTCACTATGGAGCTCCTGAAGTAGATGTCATCACCCTGTCACACCCTGCCAGGGTGATACAGGTCACCCTGGGGCTTGGGAACTGAGCACCCCTATGTCACCCCCTCAGGCCTGCAAGGGGTGGAACCACCCTGTCCAGGATGAAGCAGCAAGTCTCGGGGGCACTGAGCAGCCTGGGCTCTGTGCTGCTGTGTGGTTCCCTCAGTGGCTACAAGCTTCCCTGGGTGACAGGTAAGTGGGCCCTGGGCTCAGGGGCTGGGATGGGGCAAGCCTTCCCATCAGGCTGTGCGCCTGACCTGGAGCCCCAACAGTCTCTCACCACGACCCGGAGGCCCCCTTCAACCCCAGCTTCATCGAGCAGCCCTCTGCCGGCTGGGCTTCCGAGGACTCCTTCTCTTCTGATTCGGAATCCGGAGCGGAGAATGAGGATTCTGCCTACTGTGTGTCTTCCCTAAAAGGTAGCCCCACCAGCCCACTCCCGAGTACCCCTGCCCACCACAACCTCTTCCAGTTTCCCTCAGCAAGCCTGTGTCCAGTGGGACCAGACCCTGTTCTAGCTCTGGAGATGCAGTAAAGAACAAAATAGAACTGGCCATTGTGACAGATACCAATACTCCCAGCAGTCTGGGAGGCTGAGGCAGGAGCATGCAAGTTTGAGCCCATCCTGGGCAATATAGAACCTGTTTCAAAAAAAAGAATTCTAGGGATAGAGTGAGCTCAGTGCAAGGGCCCTGGGTTCAAAAACAGACTCCTGTCTCCACCGAACTTAGAGTCTGATAGGCAGTAATGAGACAAGTCCCCAGGCAGTTAAGGACAGAATGATGCGTGCTTTGACCCGGACACATAAAGAGGGACTCAATCTGGCCATGGCAGTGGCAACTGTCACGTTAGTAAGAGCTGTGCCGAGCCCAGCAGAACCAGTCGGTAATAGCAGAGTGAACGGAGAGAACGGGAGCAGTGTTTCAGCTGAGAGGAGCTGCACGATCAAAGGCCCAGAGGGACATGGCTCAGAAGGACATGGCTCTGGGGTGTGGCCGGGGTGCCAGGCTGGCAGTAGCTCAGAGCAGGAAGGGGCGGTGAAAAAAGTGGAGAAGGAAGTGTGGCAACTCCATCGGCCCTTCCCGGCCTCTGTCCTGCCCCTTCCCGGCCTGTCCTCGAGCCTCCCCAGGACGCGGAGCTGCGGGTGGGCTGCACTAGCGTGGCCAAACCTTGCTGCAGCCGAGCTCTTTTTTCTCCTCTGCCAGGGACGGCTCCTGTGGCCCAAATAGAGTCGTCAGAGGCCACCTTCCCTCCCCCTGAGGACACCTCCACGCCGTTCCCTATCCCTCGAACCTCCAGTTTAGCTCGGGCCAAGCGGCCCTCGGTCTCCTTTGCTGAAGGCACCAAGTTTGTGTCACAGAGTGGCCGAAGCTCAGGGGAGCTCTCCAGCCCGATCCGAAAATCCAAGAAGCCCTCAAGAGGGGCGCAGCCAGGTCCTGAGGGTCAGGAGACTGAGGAATCCACCAGCCCCGAGCAAGCAAAAGTGGATAAGGCCCCTACTGCTGCTGCTGCCGCCGCCGCTGCCAAACCCAGCAGTTCTGTCAATGGCCACCAGTTCCCTCGTGGTGGCCAGAAAGTGGCCGAGCCTGGGGAAACCACCGAGGGCAATGTTCAGGAGAGCTCAGCTTCTTTGGCCTCAGTCTACATGCTGGTAGGGATGCCCGAGAAATCCCAGGGCCATGTCCGGTCTGTCCTCCGCCGTTTGGGTAACTTCCAGAAGAGCCAGGCAGAACCGAAGGTCAAGAGTGCCATCCCTAAGCCCCCACGCCGAGCTCTGGGCCAGAAGAAGGGCAGCCCTGGGCTGGCCTCAGGCTCTGCCAGTCAGAGCCCTGGCTCGGCTCTCAACGCCAGCCTTGTGGAGGCCGCAGAATCTGCGGGAGTTGGGCCCGAGGAGGTGTCGAGGGGGCTGGGGGACGGCAGGGAGAGCCCGGGGAAGACCCAGGAGCCGGTGCCCAGCAGCAGCCTCCAAGAACAGGCTCCCCAGAAGCAGGCGGAAGAGGAAGGGCAGGAGGAGCCCCTGTATGAGAATGTACACACATGTGGGCGACCAGAGTCCTGAAGACCTTGGATTTGGGGCGTAGGAAGAATACGAATAGGGTGGGATGGGGGGACACCAGAATCTGCCATGAATCAGATTGTGCTTTGTGCTGGAAAATTTTCCCAGAGCCAGCGTACACAACAGAACCTCTGCACTGGAGTAGGCGAGACGGAGAGGCCAGCTGGCCCCAGGCCCTGGCAGCGGCCCCGGAGCAGGTCTGGAGCACCCGGGCAGGCATCCTGCAGGAAGGGGTCAGGAAGAGGGATGAGAGGCTGCAGGGACTTTTTGTCTGTTGCCCTGGATTCTGCCCCCAAAGGACTGTTCTTTCCTTTATTTGCCAAACATTTTTCTGAAATGGGAAACAACCTAAATGTTTGATGATAAAAGATTGGTTAAACAAAAACTTACGTGAGTTACTGCACAGCTACTAAAAATTGTGTTGTACAAAAAATATTTAATATGACAGAATGTTCATGCTTCACTAAGTGTGTAAAAAGTGTCATGCAATTTATGGAATACAGTATAGCTCCATTGTTTGTTGTTGTGCTAGGGACTGAATTTATGCTAAGCACGTGCTCTGCCACTGAGCTATATCAGCAACCTCTTCCTCTCTTTCTTTCTTTCTTTTTTGAGACAGGGTCTTGCTATGTGATTCAGGCTAGTTTTCAAATAACTGTGTAACCCAAACTGGCCTTGAACTCTTACCTCAGCCTCCTGAGAGCCATTATGCCCAGTTCCATTGTTTCTTTAGCTTTGTTTGTTGAGACAGAGTCTTGTTATGTAGTTCAGGCTGGCCTTGAACTTCTGATCCTCCTGCCTCAGCCTCCCGAGTGCTGGGATCACAGGCCACCACACTTGGCTCACGTGTTTTTTAGTACACATGTAAATATATGTTTTAAAAACAAAAGAGCATACTAAGCATACTATTCTACAACTTACTTTGCTTTTTTTTTTTTTTCCGCCTCCCCTTCCTTTTTTTGGTGCTGGGGATTAAACCCTGGGTCTCATGTATGCTAAGCATGCATTCTACCTGAGCTACATGCCCAGCTCTGCAACTTGCTTTCTTACTTAGTGATGTACCCTGGATATCTTTTGATGTCAGTACATAGAAAGCTACCTCCTTCCATAAAATATGACGAGGTGGGGCTGGGGATGTGACTCAGCAGTAAAGTGCTTGCTTAGCGTGTGTGAGGTCCTGGGTTAGGTCCCCAGTAGTGGTTGGGGGGAGGTTGGATTCCATTATATGGAAATAACAGGCTATTGCAACCACCTCCTGTCAATAGACAGTTGTTTCTAATTGTTCTGATACAATAAACTATGATGTAGTCTACAACTACCTTTGTACATATTTCTTTTGTTTTTGTAATGCTAAGAATTGGACCCAGGGCCTTGTGCATGCTAGGCAAGCGCTCTACCACTGAGCCACACTCCCAACCCCATACATATTTCTTTTTGCACTTAGGCAAGTTTTTGTACAGAATAGATTCCAAGGACTTACTGAATTATAGAGTAAGAACATTAGACATTTCTGTACTTCAAATTGCCCTCCAGAAAAGTTGTATGGGTTTATAGTCTCACAGAGTACCCATTTACCTATATGCAACCTAACAGGTTGAAAATGGCATTATTTTAGCACATATACAAAAAAAAAATGTTAGAACTAGTTAAAATCCTTACACAATTAAAAAGATTTGAACAATTTATTTAGGGGCTGGGGATTTAGCTCAGCGGCACAGTGCCTGCCTGGCAAGCGCAAGGTCGTGAGTTCAATTCCCGGTACCGGAAACCCCCCCCCACCAAAACCAAACAAACAATTTATTTATTTTTGTTTTTTGAGACAGAGTCTCACTATATAGTTCAGGCTGGCCTTGAGCTCACTATGTAGCCCAGGCTAGCCTTGAACCTATGGGGATCCTTCTGCCTCAGCCTCCCAAGTGCTGGGATTACAGGTGTATGCCACCACACCTGGCTAACCATCTTTTAACCATTAAAAAATAATGATCTCTGTGGGGCTAGCAGAATAGTGGTGGTGGAACACTTGCCTAGCCTGCATATGAGACCCTGGAACTAATCTCCAGCAACACACAAACACACAAATTACAATTGAACTGGACATGGTGGCCCATGAACTGGACATGGTGGCCTGTGCCTCAGGAGGCTGAGGCAGGATTATCACCTTGAGGTTGAGGCCTGCCTGAACTATATAGCAAGACCTTGTCTCAAAAAAAATTATGATTGGGGGCTGGGGATTTAGCTCAGCGGCAAAGCACCTGCCTGGCAAGCGCAAGGTCATGAGTTCGGTTCCCGGTACCGGAGAAAAACAAACAAAAATTATAATTCAAATTTCAAAATTATTCTTTTTTTCTGTATTCAATGGTTGAGGTTCCTATCAGACCTTTAGCAGATTTTTCCTGCAGGTTATCTTGTTATATTCAACTTTCAGCTGAGATACTCATCTTTTTTCTGATTGATTTTTTTTGTTTGTTTTGTTTTTGTTTTTGTTTTTGTTTTTTTGGTTTTTCTCGGTTTTTCTCCAGTACTGGGAACCAAACTCACGACCTTGCGCTTGCCAGGCAGGCGCTTTTGCCGCTGAGCTAAATCCCCAGGCCCCTTTTTTTTTTTTTTTTTGAGACAGGGTCTTACTATGCCTTCCAGGATGCCCTTGAACTCACTATGTAGCCCAGACTGGCTTTGAACCCAGGGCAAACCTGCTTCATCCTCCCAAGTGCTGGGATTACAGGCATGCGTCACCGCAGTCAACCTCCTGATTACCCCCGCCCCCCGCCCAGTTTGGGAGCAAAATTTTATTGACATCTTACATTCTCGCCCACCCTAGGTCTGATTGATTTTTAAGTGCCTTTTATATATCGAGTTTGTGACAAGTTTGCTCAGTTTGTGACTGATGTTTAAATGCTGTTTATAGTTTCTTCTTTTTTTTCCTCTATGGAAGCTTTAAAATTTTAATTTAGACAGTTTTTGTCTTTATGACTTTTAGGTTTCATTGTATGCTTAGTGCAAAAATCTCTACCCTAAATGTGAAATAATCTACATTTTTTCCTAGTACTTTAGTGATTGTATTTCTTTCAGTGCTGGGGATGGAACCCAGGTCCTTATACATGCTAATCAACTCCACTATCCCTGAGCCACACTCCCATGGTTTTATTTATTCATAATTTGCCAACAGTGTTTTTTTTTTTTTTTTTT